AAAGACTAAGCCATAGCTACACCTGCCGGTAAGGAATTCCAGGGACGGCAAACCCGCAGTGAAAAGAAGTGAGAGGGCACCCGGGTCCTTGCCCTCTGTTGAGCTATCCTTATGGGATTTCCACGAGGGAGCCTATACCTACTCAATGGCAGAACACCTTTATTTGGGTGACTCTGGTCATTTGTTATTTTGTAGGCATTAATAAATCCCCCTAAGACGTCGGTAGCTAAGTGTGAACAGGCCTAATTTCTTCAGCCTTTCATCATATGGTTTATTTCGGAGACCAAACACTCCTTGTGTTGCCCGTCGTTGGACTCTTTCCAAGAGGTTGGCGTTTCTTCTAAGCATTGGGTGTGCAGTAATATTATGCACCTCAAGGTGTGGTCTGACGTATGTTTTTTACAACCTTAGAAAGAGCTCAGGAGTGAGTGCACCTAACTGTCTATGTGTAAAGTGTATGACCGTATATGCCCTCGCTACATCCACCGTGTAATTTACGCTTGTGGCTTGAAGCTAAAATACTAGTTCGAGTAGTCAGCTTTAGGAAGTCTGTATCACTGATATTCTCTACTGTTGTACGTATTTCTAGAGCCTTTGACCGATTGGTTCAAAGTATGATTGAACCTCAAGTGTAAATTAAATTAAAAGCATTGAAATACGTACAAGGGCGAAGACTGAAATTTTCGCCGGGGTAAATAAAACTAGTGGTATATTTGCACGCTTTCAGCTTATTGGTAGGTAAGACTTTTCTTTCATGTTAACATTTTAAGAGGAATTGTATTTGTGCAATACAATTAATATACGCTAAAAATTGCACCCCCAGAGTGCTTCTTATATTGATATTAGTTAACAACAGTGCCTTGGGACGAATTAACATCCATTATTTAATAACTCATTATTGCTTACCTACCGTTGGAATAAGCAGTAATTATTCAAAGAAAAGCTATCATTTAGTCGCTTATAGATGACCGAACGACTGGAAGCAGTTTGGACGGAGCCAAAATCTTTAGGTGTAGTCAAGATAGCAGGCTATTGCATCGTCCAAACACTAAGGAAAGTATTTCGGTGTGTGTAATCCATTGACTGTTGGCTCATTTTATTCCTTCCTCTTAACTTTCTGTGTTTTATTAAGTGGCTAGTTCTACGTAGGTTATTTAGTTTCATCGATCAGAGGTAACTGAAAAACAGCTCCCTCAGTAAGCTAAACGGTAAATAAACGATTAGATACAGAGTCATCTATTGGTGTAGCTTAACTCGTACTACAGCACTGTCGTATTGTTTGCCTTTTTCGAATCAGTATCTAGTGTGTGTAGTCAACATAATGTCGAAAATAGTTCAATCCCACTTAATAGCATTTACGATTGCTATTCTAACCAATCAACTGTTGAATAGTTAATTATGAGTGATGCGGCTTCACCCGCTGCTATCTTGTTCCGGCATTATGGCTTCCTGCATTTAGTTGCCTATTCAAGTGTGAAGGTTATGCGTATTCTATAGTAGAACGCACGCTAAAATCCTTCACCTTCGAAGTGAAACTAATTCCATAGTCTTCTTTACTGCTTTGAAATACCAAGTTGTTAGTTTGCTGTACTTATAGGCATGTGCGTCATTGGCACAGTTGTTAGGACTCGCCGACCATGCACATGGTCCGAGGTTCGATCCCCTGCCGACGCACACTTTATATATATGGTCGGCCTGCAAAATTTGGCCTACCGATATCCATGCTGGAAATTCCAAACTTGTGCCAAAAATACAGTGTGGAATCAAGCTGTAAATCAAAAATAAAATAAAAAATTTCTTTATGTTCTCCCTGGTTCAAAGTGACTCGTTAAACAAACTATAGATGCAGAATGCGCATTTAGTGGCAAGTGTAGATAGTTCGTTGATCCTAAACTATTACTCTTCACACCTAGAGTTATTTTATGTATAACATTATTTCTAATAACAAATTGATTTATATTCTACTAAGTTGTTGCTAAATATCGGTGTCCTTGAACTTCAGTCCTCAGTCTTTTAACAAATATGTTCATCGTGAAGTTTCTCAAGTTTCATTTGTAACAGGTAAACGACTAAAAACATCAGAAGCATATCTTTGAATGTTTAACTGGTGGTTTTGACTACTTTCTTCGTTAGCATATATATATTTTCACTCTACTGAAATCCTTATTGCCATTTTAAACTTACTGTAAATGTTCGAAATAATCAAGCGACAATTGCATCTCGATAATGTAAGATTCTACACCATACCGAATCACGTGGTTACTCCCTCTTAAATGATTAATTTGTAAATGTCTTACCAATTGTGTGATAACAGACCCAATTCAATCCGAGTGCAAAATAAAGTTACTCACTTAATTCATGAGCATGTGTCTTTGAGAACTTATGTAAGTTTTCCGTCGTTGTAATGGCTAATTCCAACTTTTCGTTCGTTAAACAGGTTTCAACTTCAGAGAAATAAAGTTAAAATACAAAAGTTACTTATAAAAGGGCACACCTTGTCTTCAAAATTCTTATCTATTCATGTCTGAGTCGTGAATTGTCTTCAAAAAAAGCAAAGAAACAGAACTGTGACCAAGATTTGACCTGATTGTTTCACTAACTTATTAGTCCTTCCATATACGCGCCAGCCGTAGTCTACTTTTTCCCTTGACATCCAATGTCTGTGGAACTACTCGGTAAAATTATTCGTCAAAGTTCGTAGAAGCAGTGTTGATTGGTTTGGGATATAACCAATAAATATGATTTATGGATTCTTAGGGCGTTTCACTGCATTCTCGCAGTGTGTGACTATAGTGCTAGTTATTCATTACGACCAGAGTAATTTTTTTAATTCTAAAATCTAAACCATTAAAACTAATGGAGTTTTAAGCCCGAACAATGAATTCAAAGAACAGGACTCCACGAACCCCCTTAGTATCTGCTGTAAACCTAGCCCTGACACATGTGCAATATATGTTTATATATATTGCTTATAAACAAAAATTGTTTTATCTAGTAATGTGAGTAAGAATAGTTCCTCTAGATAGAAATAAAAGTTTCACGTGACTCCACGAACAAAAGTGTTCTGCGAAAGAAACTGTATTACAATCAGTTGATTTTTTTGGGGGGTCAATTTCCATCCCTCAGTGATTCACACGTCAGTTCTAGTTTCGTAAACGTACCACTTTCTCTTATATCCAACCACAATGTCATGTTAAATACCAACCGACTCACTTCTTTGTAACTTGATGAAGTTCTATGCGCATTGTTGTTTTCATTTTCTGAAGTTCCACAGGATTTTCTTGAGTTTCAATGTAAGTTTGGTACAATGGCATACAATCCCACCGATGTACAACACAGGCTGTTTCGATTCACTAGTTCAGAAATTCGTAACTTGTATGTTTTACATATACTGAGCTACTTTTCTTTCAATTTGAGTCAATTCAGTTTCATTTTAGATATTTGTGCCCTTGTCAACAATTTTCATAGGTATCCATGTATTATCAAAATTGTCATGCCATTTGGTAGGATCCATGAGTTCTATAACCAATCTACTGAAGCAGAAAGCTTTCATTAAGGTTCCCAAATTCAGTCTAAAAACAAAACTCTGTAAGTCAATATTCTGTTAAATATATTTCCTGATTAAATGTTATCAAAATCCCTCTGTTCAAAAATTTCTTTTCGCCATACGCAGTCACACAGCATCTACCGCCTCGATGACAAAACTAGATGTGTCTGATACTGAGTATACGGGCTCCCCAGTGATATATCTAGTATAAGTAGAACTGGGTTGACCAATTTTATCAACTTGCCTCTATATCACGAGATTCGTCGTCACCATTCACTTTAAAATCATGTTCATCTAAAGGCAATCATGAACCTAGACGTTTGACCTTTCTCTACCCTTCACTAAACGTATTCATTCAAGGAGGTATACGTCAGTTATAAAGTCTCATTGTAGTAGCAGATGGCATATGCTACAACGTATCTATAAGTGGAGACAAGTAATCCCAATCACACTGCATGCACACGTTGACAGCTGCCAACAAGCAGGAAATGTAAACTGAAGGCTCCCTCTCCATTACCTGCAACATGAAGTTTGCATCTCGGCTTAAGAACTTAGTTGTAAACCTGGTATCAATCACAAATATCGTATTGTAGCAACATTTGCAAAGATAATTGATAACATGCAACCAAATGTTTACAAAGTGGTATGTCTGTCTGTCTGGATTCAACATAGAACTTGGCACCGAAGTGCAGCAGTTCAAGCTGCCACGTTCCAAATAGCACACAGAGGTAGACAAGAAGATGAGTGAAGAGAATCAATAGAGTTTGACAAGTATAAGAGTGAAACAGAATGGGTAATGGTAGAAAGGAATATGAAAGATTACAGAGACTGAATACATCTGCGCCATTGACAACCATTTTGAGCCATGTCACCTATTGTCTCCAGCCATTGATTCCTAGAGTCCCGAGGCCCCCAATCCGGGAGTCTGCATCTCCCTATCTGACTCAGTTTAACTGTCAAGGATTTCATGGATTGATGCCATGTTTTTGTTTGGCCACCACTTACCCTTATCCAACCTGGTTGGAAACAATTGGTGACATGGCTCAAAATCGTTCTCAATGGCGCAGATGCATCCACTCCCTGTGACTTATGATCTTCAATGAAACTGTTTTGTATTTCTTTATTACTCCTTTGTCTCACACCTCTGCTCACTGTTTCTATTATGCTTTTCTTGTACTTTCTTCTCTTGCTTCGCGTGCTACACGGAATGTGGCGACTTGAACTTCCGCACATTTGTGCAAAGTTCTATGTCGAAAACAGACAGAACCTGCACCTATATCAGCTAGTAATGCCCATCGGGGGAGGCGATGGTTAGGCATGCGCAGCACGTGACCTAGCCATCTTAGTCTATGTAACTTTATAGCCTCGTCGATTGATTTTCCCTCTTTGCCCAACACTCTACGCCTAAGGTCAACATTACTTACCTTATTAAACCACCTAATGTGAGACAGGGATCGCAGACATCTATGATCGAAAGTGGTATAAGTTTCCGTGATTCAGTCCGAACTGATTACGTCGGTCTCCCGAAAAATTCAAATTATTTGAGCGTAGGTTGAGTAGAAGTCTTTGTAACAACGGGAAACTATTTGGGTGATGGGAAGCTAAAAAGAGTGATAAGGGCACAGGTAGTTTGCAATACTCGCCATCCACATAGTGTTAATCAATAAGTGTTTATTGTACAGCTTTCTGTTCTGCCCTACTATACAACTCTGAGATCTAGTTGCTATCAACAAATGATATGGTAAGTTGACTGGTTTCTTCATTCGACTGCTCTCATGTGGTGAAATCATTTAACAATAATGTTGAAGACAGACATGAAATATCATGCTAGCTAGGTGATGATAAGGTTGTTAATCACCACTAACTGAAATGAGTGAAATGATTGCTTAGATTAATCATATTGCTGGAAAATATATGCAAAACTGGTTCCATCAACCTTATCACGGGTGTTTGTCACCCAGATTTCAACAAAAAAAACTAACTAATCCTATTTTTCACATAGAGAATCTAGAAGAGCCTAATATCCTTGGTTATACGAAGCCTAGATAGTTGTTAAAAAGAACCAGGCTGCTGGAATACAGGGAACAAATATATGTATGCCAGTTATTATTTCTGTCAATAGGTCTTGTGATATTTTCTGGCTGTAATTATCGTTAACTTCTATCAATGACTAGTTACAACTGAGCGTCGGTGAGTTTCAGTATTCTTCTCGAAACAACCTCAACCTATTCTACAAAGACGTTCTTACATAAGTAAAAGATCGAAAGAAAATATATAACATTCTTATCACTGACTGATGGACACAGATGGTGGTGTATCTGGACCGGTTGGGAAACCGCATCTTAGAACCTGTGGTGCACATATGCTCCGGTATCTGCGAAGAATTAGTGTCATATATGATTTAATCGTGCTGCCTTATACACCAAAAGCTTTTAACTAGTGGCTCAAGGAACCGTGTCTGATTGTGTCTTGACATCAGTAAAGTATAGCAACCCTTGCGCGAATGTAGAGGGATAACTCAGTAGTAAACTTAACTCATTTTTATCCCACCTGATGCTCTATGAACTAAATGTTCAATCCTTTGATAGATCATTATCAATATGATGTTATTCCTACATTTGAAATGTTTTGTTTTATTTTTATCATACTTATTTTTGTAAACTATTCAGCATTATCTGGAATCTAAGTTCATCTGTTCTGTTGTAGTACGAATTAATTGCCTTCAGGAAACCGCTCCCTGAGGCAGTATGTGACACGGCTGTTCAGGCCCTATGTCACGTTCATGTTTGCCACTAACATGCCATCGGCTGGGATCATTCCGAAAACCTCATATTTTACCAAGTTTAAGTTTAAAATAAGTAAATAAAGAGTTATTGTGAAATAAGTTGACAATGTTAGATACGTTTATTTGATGTGGCATCAAATGCAGTATCACTCTGTGCTATCTTAAAATAAACTTTTCTGACATGGAATTATATTCTACCCCAGTGCACAAATTGTACAGTTGCAATAAGTCAACGGTGCTTATATACCCAAATGCAGATAGTCGTGAGTTCTGTTGGTGTTGGTTTGCGTTTCTACATTTTTAGATTTCACCCAACTAATATTGACTTCGGTAGAGTTGGTATTATTTATGGCTTACATAGTTAATTAACACCAGATGTTACTGTGGTTTCTTATATTTATTCTTCCTGATTATTAACAGGTACTTATTTTAAACAGCTTGCTGAGGATTATCTCTCATCTGGTCGCGATACTTTACAACTTATACGCAAGAACCCTATACGTTCCTTTCTCTGGAGTTCTTCAATTTTAAGTGTATCATACATTGTACACACTCGTCCAGATAAGAAAGATTATTATGCGTCTCTTATCGAATCTGCAATTGACCTGTGGGAAGTCCCAGACTTTATACGCAACTCCAAAAGTGCATGCTATGTTCACAGATGCCTTCAGTTGTATTTCAAAGAACAGCTTAGATATAGTAACTTTGGTTTATTCACTGTTATCTGGCGTGATGATCGCTGTCAGTCATGTTGTCAGTACGCAGAGGTCTGTAATTACACATATCCTGCTAACGGAGGTGGAAATTTTACGAGCCTCATTCGTCTATTCTTATTTGATCGACCTCAAGAGAAGGGTTGGCTACGCATCCGAAATATTGTTAACGACCGTATATTGGATTTCGGTTTCATGGGGAAATGGTGGCTTATGTCACACTATATGGAAGACTATGATGTTAATCCTGATGAATGGGAGAATGGTACCCAATTTACGTGAAAGAAAATCAACCGGTAGTACTGCTAAAAAGAATGTGGAGACAAGCCAGGCTTCTTGTTCACACGTCCAAAAATCGTCCACCGAAACTGAAATTAACCATAACCAAAATAGTGATGCTTTGTGTTTAGACAGTTCTACTAGTAACACAGATGAAGACTGGGAAGTACTAAATGAAGAGAATTTGTTTGTTGACTGCCAGGGCTTGCTCGAAGATGATATCTTAACGCCGAACAGTGTTATTCATCTTGTTGATCTAGAATCAGAGAAACCTCTTATGCAGGTAGGTTAACTATCGGTCTTACATTTCTTTGTATTAATGAGCAGTATACATTTCCCAATTTTTGTACTGCTGTTTAGTAAGAATTACTACTCACCATCGAAAACCTATTTTTAACTTTCCCAGCATAGCGTAAATGTTGAGAACCCTTTTTTAAACCCTTAAACATATTACGAGACATTTCCCCAACACTTTATTTCGATGAAGTCTCACAGTGTTATACAGTTGTACTTACTGTTGACCACGTTTTAAGCACAGTTTATTACTGCTAATAATCATATCAAACTGCACAAGTTTCTAACTTCGTTTATATGACCCCACTACTTCTCGCCTCTTCATTTGGATTGGTAATAATATTTTCCATATTTGTGCCATTAATGATGAGTCATTCCTATTGCATGTATTGTGTTGGGTGTAGACTCTTCAATGAACAAATATTCAGTCAGTGATCAACCTCTCTCTCTACCTACATAGATTACTTTTTAGAATCTTAACCCTCTCCCACCCTACTGTGTGGTTGTGTATTAATGTATGCAGTGCAATCGCTGAGCTTTTTTCTGAATTACTTATCTTCTCGAGGTCAACCATTCTTACCTTGGCTAAATTCTTATGTTCCGACAATCTGATTACCCCCGACCTACTAGTTTGACCTATGTAGTTGACCTCACAGTCATTGCAAATTATTTTGTAAATTATATTATTTTGTCCTTCAATCTACAGAGGTTGTCCTGCCTGAGTGGGTTTTTAGGTTTGTATGCCACTCTAATTTCTGCTTTATTAAGAATCCTACGTGGAGTCTCAGATGTCTCCTCTTTATATGGTAGAACAATGGATTTATTATTATTTATTTATTTATTTAAACGCATAAAAAACTTGGTACAATATGGCACCAAGAAAGATGCGCCACACAATAATAATAAAACAACATAGATCAAAAAAAGGAAGGAAGGAAAAGAAAAAATATATATAAGTAGAGAACGGATAAAGAACTTCATCTGGAAGGAAAACAGTCATGCTTAACAAGTTCAAACAGTGTTCGTTAGCTATCATCGGGAAGGGAAGAAAGAAGGAAATCGCAACACATTCGCCACTGATTACGATTCTTGGCCATATCCGATAACGTTTCGAGCCATCGATTTGAGCTATCTCTCGGACCCCAACCAGGGAGTCGTGACACACCAACCGATGCTAATCTAGCACAAAAATCCTTCATCCCACGACGCCACGTCATGGACTGACCACCTCTCCGACTTTTCCATCCCGTCCCAGGGCTAGCGAACAGAGAACATGTCCAAGCCACCGGAGCCGGTGTTTCCAGATGACGACATTCAATGAATGGTGATCTCCACTTTGTTCAAACACACGCCTCCGAACCTCAGAATTACTCACGCGATGATGCCATCGAACGCAAGCAATCCTGTGGAGACAGCGGTGATCGAACACGCAGAGTCGCCGCACATCCTCAGCTTGGAGAGGCCAGGTTTCACAGGCGTAGAACAGCGCAGCCCGCACCGAAGCATTGTGTACCCGACCTTTGACAGCCAGGCTAACGTCGCGACGGCGCCATAGGTGGCTCAAGTTGATGTATGCCACCCTAGCCTTCATTATACGGTTGGAAATCTCATCCGTCACCCCTCCGCCAGCACTCACACAACTACCCAGGTACACAAACTTATCAACAACTTCAAGCGGTTCACCCGCAAGAGTGAGTGCGGGTACAGATAATGCTTTATATTCTTTCTTATTTATGTTTTCATTATTTGTTTCCCCATTATTTTTTATTGTGCTTTTGACCTATTCTGATCTTCCTAATGAATTTTATATGATAGTTATTTGACACCAATGTTTCCTGCTTGTTCATCTAGTCTACACCCAACACAACACATACAATAGGAGATACTGAAAATACTACTAACCAATGAAAACAAGGAATGGAAAATAATGGAATTATATAAATGAAATTAGATAGTTGTGCAAGTAACTCGAAATGATAATGGGCAATACGTTGTTCTCGAAACGTGGTTATCAATAAATATTACTGTATAACTGTTATGGTTTCGTCATCAATAAATGTTATGTACTGCTGAGTAGTTAATTGTCCTGACGCGAAAAAGGGAAAATCAGAAGGCCACTACGTTCTTGATGATACGTGTATTTTCCAACAAGGGAAATTGACTGTGATACAAGTGTGTGAGTGAAAGGGTATGTAGTGTATGAAAGGTGTGAACAAGTATGTAAAAGTGTACAATGTACCCAATTTTCTTGACCGTTTTTGCATAACATAACTCTACTCTACGTAACTTACTAATTTTCACCTGTTTAGTTAAAATAACCATAACCAATTGTATTTTTGTTTGACAAACTTAATGTACACCCGCATACATATCAATAATTATCAAATAATTTGGCCGAAATCTACATTACACATGCCATAGTCTGATGTCCATGATAGTAGTATATTATAAAAGTATCACCAAAATATATATGAACCAGTGAAAGCACTGGATATCTGAAGGGGATTGTTTTCTTACATGATTGCACTTTGAAACATGATAAACTATTATTTATTATTTTATTGCTTTACGTTCCTAGTGAAACATATGGCTTACAAGTTTTAATAGCAAGGGTGTTTATTTTTACGGGGTGGGGTTGCTAGCTTCAAGCCCAACCTTCCCTCCTTACCAACCTAACTATCGTCTTAGCGAGGTTTCGGAGCGCCCCGGCTGGAGACTGAACCCCAGACTACGCGAGGCGTAGTCGACAATCGTCCTACGGTTGAACCGCCGACGCACATAATACAGAGTTTATAAGGTGTCTACAATCTTTATGTAATCACAAGCAAATGAAGTTATTTTCGTGGATGGTGACTGACTAGCAGTGGAATTCCCGGATATACATTTCACCCTATTTGAGACTCGTTTGCTGTGAATCTGCCTGAATTCCCCGTCATGTGATGATAGTGTTACTACTGAGACTCGAACTCTGCATCCATCATTTCAAACGCCTAAGTGTTGTTCTCCGCCACACCACTTGAGCCATATAAGACCAAATAGTACTGGACAGCTGTTTCGTCCCAGTGCTTGTACGCACCCACAGAGTTTCGAAACCAGGACCCTCCAGGCGCAATGCAAGCTTGTATGGTATTCAGTCACTGCGACTGTCTGTCTGTTTTCAACATAGAACTTTGCACATATGTGCGGCAGTTCAAGTCACCACACTACCTCCTCGTAGCACACAAAGCAAGAGAAGAAAGTAGAAGAAATCCATAATAGAGACAGTAAACAGAGGCATGAGACAAAGAAATAGTAATAACGAAGAACAATATAGTTTCAGTGGAAACCGTAAGTCACAAGGAGTGGATGCATCTGCGCCATTGAGAACGATTTCGAGCCATATCACCAATTGTTTCCAACCATTGGTTTTCACCGTCCCGAGGACCCCAACCAGGAAGCCAGTCTACACCTTCCTACGTAGCTGGCTTAAACTAACTGTTGTGGATTTCATTGACCGATGTAGCCATGTCTTGGTTTGACCACCACTAGCTCTTTCCCAACCTGGCCCTATGTCAGCTAACATTGCCTGTCAAGGAAGGCGATGACTAGGCATACGTAACATATGTCCCAACCATCTCAGTCGATGTAATTTCACAGCCTCGTCGATTGATTTCCCCTCCTTACCTAGCACTAGACCGACGCTTAACTTCAATATTGCTCACCTTATTATATCACTTCACACGGGAGATAGAACGCAGGCACCTATGATCAAAGACAGCTAATCTCTTCATGCCTTCCACTCTCAATGGCCAGATCTCACAGCTATAAAAGGACACTGACTAGAATTGTGAATATATTTAGCTTTCGCGTTGTATGACTCGATAGATATGGCTTCCATTTCATTGGAATGAAATAATCATGAGCTACTCACTGAACAAAAGTTGAAGTTAGTACTAATAATAGGCATAATGTTAATGTGCATAATAATATTTCTCAGAGAACGGCTAATATTTGGTTCAGTCGTTTAGACAGCAAACCTTCAAATACCTTTTACATTCAAATCGCCGTCACTTTTCAGTGATGATATTCAACGAATCTGATGGTAAAGGAGGAGCTGATGCAGGTTATTCTTACGTTGTTTTTTAAAATACAACAGTATTCATTCTGGAACAACTTTTCAGGTTCAGCGTTGCCACCCCTTAAATATATCATCACATTGAGTCAGTTTTATTATATATCATGGCTAGGACACTTGATGCACATGTTCCATCACCACCTTCTACAACGTGAAATGTTAGCTGATATATGGTCAAGTTGGAAAAGAGTCAGGGCTGGTCTAACCAAAACCTGCAATCAACCCACACTGAGTCTTTGATCGTTAGTTTAAGCCAGCCAGGTAAGGCGTGCAGCCTGATTAGTAGTTGGGTTAGGAATGCTAAGAACCAATGACTTGTGACTGCTATTGACATGGCCTGAAACTGTTCTCAGTTGCGCAGATTCATTCACTCGTTTTTTTTCTTTAATTGTCCAAATCCAATAAATATTCATTTTTTTCCCATGTTCCATTCTTTCTCGCTCACAATTCTGCACATTAGAGCTCTTTCGAATCTCTTTACTACACTTTGTGTGTGTGTGTGTGTGTGTGTGTGTGTAGTAAATGTAGTTTGGTAACATGAACTACTGCACTTTTGTTCAAAGTCTTATATTGAAACAGCCAACTATACGGCATAACTAAGATATTTTATGAGCAGTTATTATTGTTTGGAAGTATTCAGCTTTCGTCTAGAACTTATCTACTACAGTTTTTTTCTACTGTTGAAACTCCCTTATCTCATCATTAGTGTACATTGTTTGATTGATTCATGAGACACAGATGGTGTTGCGTGTGTTACTGACAAGATTTATCATTAGTGCATATAAAGAGACGTTCACCGGCGCACAAAAATATCAAATAGCAGAGAGATAGACTTGACGTCAAAGAGAGAAGATGAACCAGTGCTGTAGCGAAACATAGGAGATTCGAAAGGAGGACGAAAAAAACAACAGAAGATCTTTGCAAATGACGATTTTCATATAAGGTGTACACAATTCCCTTATATCAAAATATTCCATCAGTTACCAAGTGTCTTATGTCCTACCGTTACAGGGGTACACAAACACTGAAGTTGACAGCCTTTTGTAATTTATGGGAAATTGCCTACTAGAATTCATAATCGTACTTGTTCTCTTACGTTTCCAAATTTAACTTTCTTGACTTAATTCCCGGTAGCACACTGATGATCAAACACGATTTTGAAAGAAGCAAAATATCCAGATACATCAGGTTCTTGTAGTTTCCCTATGTTCTTTATATATCTAGCAGGATTTAATAGCGAGCTCGGTAACGGAACAAATTTTCGAATAAAAATCCAAGTTAATGAAATGATAGTGTAATAATATATTATAAAAAATGCAGTTAACGAATTATATAAATTAACGGTTACTTGGTGACACAGTTAAACTTCGCCGCTCCCAATTACTGATACAATCCACAGAAGTGTTCACTGCTGGAGTCGTATATACTAGTACAAGCTGCGCGCTGGTTGTCTTTGATCATAGGTGCCTGCGTTCTATCTCCCGTGTGAAGTGATATAATAAGGTGAGCAATATTGAAGTTAAGCGTCGGTCTAGTGCTAGGTAAGGAGGGGAAATCAATCGACGAGGCTGTGAAATTACATCGACTGAGATGGTTAGGACATATGTTACGTATGCCTAGTCATCGCCTTCCTTGACAGGCAATGTTAGCTGACATAGGGCCAGGTTGGGAAAGAGCTAGTGGTAGTCAAACCAAGACATGGCTACATCGGTCAATGAAATCCACAACAGTTAGTTTAAGCCAGCTACGTAGGAAGGTGTAGACTGGCTTCCTGGTTGGGGTCCTCGGGACGGTGAAAACCAATGGTTGGAAACAATTGGTGATATGGCTCGAAATCGTTCTCAATGGCGCAGATGCATCCACTCCTTGTGACTTACGGTTTCCACTGAAACTATATTGTTCTTCGTTATTACTATTTCTTTGTCTCATGCCTCTGTTTACTGTCTCTATTATGGATTTCTTCTACTTTCTTCTCTTGCTTTGTGTGCTACGAGGAGGTAGTGTGGTGACTTGAACTGCCGCACATATGTGCAAAGTTCTATGTTGAAAATAGATAGACACACTGGTTGTAGAATAGTTTTCGGATGAGAGGTTCCTACAAAATCCAAAGGATACAACACGGTTAGTAGTAAAGCAAGTAGACAGTATGAACCAGTGAGAAGACGTAGCATTGAACAGCACTCTGTATTTTAGCTTGTGCTTCGAAGTTATGTATATTTTACAATGAATCGTTTTAAGCTAAAGTTATATACAATGTTTCCACTTGTAATACCTAACAAAAAACTGTACAGTCATATTATTCCAGACTCCACATACATATTACTTTTATTTTATTCCTTTACATATCTAATAGAACATGGGCCTTCATGCTAGAGCTTTAAAGTTTCGGTAGGCGTGGTATTTATTTTTACGGAGTGAGGTTGCTAGCCACACATCCAACCTTCCCTTTTCACCACAGCCTTATTACCTTCTTGACGAGGTTTAGCGAAGAGTGATCGAATCCCGGACCACATGCATGGCTAGCGAGCATTCTACCGTCGTACCACCGATGCACCTCTTTATATACATGTGTAATTATCTTACATCATTTTCCTTTTATATTTTGCTGTGTTTTATTTCTATAGGTTGGACCGGCAGTTTTTGAAGGACATTATGAAGATGTTGTTGGTACATATTTGTTGTTTGAAAATTGTAAATCTCCACTGGAGAGTACTCTGTTCGCAGAAAGTGGGACAACTACATTTTCAAATCGAAAGGTAGATGAACAGACACAAAATACAGCAAACTATGTTACTAAATGCTCGAAATCACTTGCATTTCAACGTATTTTCCTCAAAACGAAAGCTGAATAACACTAGCAGCAACCTTGCTTAGTATTACTAGTACCAATTTTAACTCCTGATTCTGTATACGTTTATAGATACCTATGTTTATGTGATGTGAATATATTCGTTCAATGATAACTTCTCTCTTATTTCACTGAAATGATGACTGACAGTTTAGATTAGTTGATTGTGTGCGAAAGGTCTCGGTCTCGCAAAGGAGAGAAAAAGTGAAATCGACGAGGTGGTAGCAACCAATAGCACAGCTTGAGGATGCAAAAATGCTGCATTTCCGTAGTGTCTTCAATACTTACTTACTTACTTTGATTATTTCTAAACAATGCGGGCAATTTAGAGAGATAACAATGAATTGGTTTGATACCAAGAACAAAGCCACTGAAGCCAACAGATTATCAGTCAGTAATGGAACAAGACTCTCAGTTTCTTCATTTCTACTTAATTTCATTGTAGGATGTACTGTCGGATGTGAACGTGGCTGACTCAAATCTATCAGAAATTGATTTTTGTTACAAGAGAACAGTCTTGTCGATCTGAAATAGGAAGATGATATATATAGTCCCTCTTAGTGTAGATGATGACGAACAGCTTGACATTTGATTGGCCCCTGTTAAATCTGAAGGTAACGCTGCATGGACTAGTCTTCCCTGACTCCTAGTTCAAGAATAGGAAGAGTGTTGAGCGCCGAATTTGTTTAGGAAGTTGACTCAGCCCTGGTCTCGGTAGAAGGACAAAAGGTTGATTTGTTAACATCGCGCTTGTGTGACCTCGGGCTATCTGTCAACAGATGTGGGGTGGTAGATAATTCCCCAAAATTATTAGCCTTCACTATAACCTTCACTATTTAAGTCGACTTGTTTACCTAAAGGCTAGCGGTGAAGTGTCCACGCCATCTGGCACGCCGTTGTGTTACATCCGTTCGTTTGTGCACGATCTCTGGCTAGTCAAGCAATCATACTCGCACTACGATTTTGCACCCGAAATATACTTCGTAATTTGGACGATCAATCTGGTGTTTTGATTTGCCTCTGGTCTTTGCGAAACAAATACTATAGGAGTCGTGAGTATAAGAAACTGCGTTAGTATCCGTCATACTTCCTGTAGACGTCAACACTCCCTCATCCTGTAAACATGTGTACTTTCCAGTCCTTATATATGACTGTAAGACTTGAATGTTGAAAGTGGGAAAAATGGAGAAGCTAACTGTTTTCGACTTAAGCTGTTTGTGTTTAATTTCTTGTGTTAGGTCGTATAATATGGTTACTGACAATGATGCAAGGTGTAAAGTGTCAATTGAGAAGAGGAAATCAGTGGAATTCCATTGAGATACCGAATGTCTCCTATTTCGAAGATCAACGTTAGGTGGTATATGATAAGGTTGAAAAACAGTTCTCACTTTCCAAAAGAAATGTAGAAAAGTCGGAATTGCCGTATTTGTTTCCGAGATGAGCTCAATATACTCAGATTCACTTATGTGAGGGAAAAAACGGTCAGGCTTACGTGTTGTACTTGAAATACTCCTCTCCTGACTACAGTTGCTTTCTTCTATCGGATATATTAAACTAGGTTCAGAAGAACGTGGACCAAAATATTTTATACTTGTGCTTGCTAATTGTGAACATGCAGGTGCAGCCGAATGTCTAAAAATGTTTGTTCATAAGCTAATAGATGATGTGCAACCTTCAACCCTTTTTTTCTAAAATGTTTGGAAATGCACCGGAGTTTCTGGGATAAGAAATAACTGCTTCGTTTGGTTCTTTGCTGAGGAAGTCGCCGTCTTAATAGAATATACACAGACGTTTTGAATAACATAAGAATACTCCGTTTAGGTCAAGTATGCTGTTTTGCTTACTAGTTTACACTTCATAGATAGCTCTTTTATTTTGATAAAGAAATGACAAATGAATAAGGTAACAGTAGTGGAACAACAGAATGGAAACAAGTGTTCATTCAAAAGGTCTTTTGTTACTCTCCACCATGCTACCACTAGAAAATTCTTTCAAAATACCATTAACGGCAAAATTAGGGGAAGACGGTCAGACTAAGTCACCCGGTCTAACCCTAGTGATGATTCAGAATTGTAGCGTTGATAGGCGGTTCGATGATTTAGCTCTGTTTGAGGTAATCTATATAGGTCTTTTCAGAATGATCACAGGTGATGGCATATAAATGGAAAGCCTGGATGTGGCACGCGGCGCTTGAAGAGCCGCGCCATACACTGTACCACAGAGCGATTTTCAGAAGGCAACACAGTATGAGTGGACTAAGACCCCAGCAGATTCAAAATAATAACGAACACCGTAAAAAATTACAATATTAAAAAACACAAAGATGATAAAAATCAAACAAAACACTTCAAACGTAAGAATAACATCACAGTGATAATGATCTATCAAAGGATTGAACATGTAGTTCATAAAACATCAGGTGAGATAAATTGCGAGAGCATAGAGTTGAGTTTACTGCATCCTTGAATGAATACGCTCGGTGAAGGGTACGGAAAGGTCAAACGTCGAGGATCATGATTGTCTTCAGGAAATGAACACAAATTTCGAGTGAACGGTGACGACGAGTCCCGTGATTTAGTGCCCTCTTGATAAAATTGATCAACTGAATTCCACTTGTACTAGATATATCACTGAGAAGATCGTGTGAGCTGATTATCTGACTGTTTTGTTGCCAGTTACATCCCTATCTGACTGTTCCAGACTGGAAAGCTTTTTGTCGGACATCAACCAGTGGTTTAAGCTGATTGCTCTAACGTTAAGTCGCTCCAGCTGTCGGGTAGTTAACTTCACCTTCAGGCATAAACGTGGTCTCACACTAACTTGTTCTCTCACACGATGCTCGTAACATAGAGGGCACTGAAACAGAAACAAAGTCAAGCATGGAACAGTTTTGTTCTCTAACGTTTCTTGGTGTTGATTTCTAAGAAAATGTTCCGGTGAAGCTTCTACATTAAACAGTTAAGATGAGCACCTATCTCTCAACCTCTACTTTTACAGTTTGTCAACCCTTACATGTAACCTACTTCACTCATATTGCTAATAAAATGTTCTGAAAAAGTATATCGCACCAATCGAAGCACTCTGTTTGCACTAACACACCAGTGCTTACGGATAATTGTTAGCTGAATTGATTGGCGATCATTGGTGTATGTTACGGATGCCCATTGTCCCAAAATTTGTTTAATTCCACCGTAGATATATTGATGGAATTGAGCCTAACGAACATTATCGACTTGTTACCAGGGTCTAGTCTGATCAACTTAGAGTATGTAGATTATATTGTTCATCGAGGAGATGTTGACAAAATGCATAGTCTTCTGAACACCTTGAGCAGCAATCTTCGAACGTATGGCATGCAATTCAATCGTGTCAAACGTGAGATGATGTCGAAGGACTAGACCAGACCAACTCAGCTTAAAGATAGGGAGTGAATTGGTACCACTTCACTTATTTGGAAACTTCCATCAGCCCTGCTGAACTGATTGCTAAGGAAATCTCGGTACAGATACAAAAGGGTTGTATGGCATCCTCCAGTTTATGTCACCTCTAACGTAAAAGTGACATCTGGCTATTAATCACAGGACGTGTGTACTACGCAGCAGCTGCCTCTTTATTTATGGCTGTAGGATATAGGTATCGGAAGAACTAAAAAGGCTAGTTGTATTTGATCACGGATGTTTGCGTTCCCTCGTGCTAGGTAACATAATATATTGAGCAACATTGAGGTCAAGAATAGATTGTTAGGTAAAAAAGGGAAGCTAATCAGTGATGTTGAGATAGTGCATCGACTGAGATGACTAGAACTTATGTTGCTTATGCTCAGTCACCGCCTTCTACGACGAGAGATGTTAGTTGACATAGGGTTAGTTTGGAAAAGAGCGATGGTCTAAACAAAACCTGTAATCAATCCACTAAGTCTTACTATTAGGTTGAGCCAGATGAGTAGGTGTAGCCGGACTAATTGGGTTGGAGATACTAAAAACCAGTGACTTGTAACTGATGTTAATATAGCATCCCCTAGTTTACTAGCTTGCTAGTTTTCTAACCGGTTGCAAGCTCAGGTAAAGAGAGACAGCTGGGCTTGGGGCTAGCCACCCTACACTACAAAACCAATCAAACTGCTACAGAAACTTCAATACACAAGAAATATATTAAAAATACAAAATTATAACAGACAAGCCTATTCTTCGCTGGAATCGGAGAGGCGAAATGACAATGGCTGATGAAAACATTCAGAAGCCAGTCAGCCACCCGACGTGTCATCTTTCGATGAAAGCAAGAATAAGAATGGGGATGTGAGATGTACGTACAATGTATCAGGCTGAGAAGACTGACCAAGTGGCCGAAGAAATGAGAAGAAATGGCATAGAAGTGCTGGGAATCTGCGAGAGCGGATGGAACGGATGTGAATTGTAAAAATTGTCAACTGGCGAGTCAGTAATCTACTCCTGTCGGATCACCCAGACGACAACCAAGAGCCCACTGAGAGAGTAAGTGGCTATCACGATTTCACCAGTGGCAGCCAGAGCCCTAATTCAGTGAGAACCGATTTCATCCAATATCTTGATAGCAAGATTCAACTCAAAAGTAAGGAAGAAAGGTTACAATTACCCAATGCTACGCACAGTGCTACAAACAACGCGAAACAAGAGAAGGAAGAAGATTTTTACAGACAACTACAAACAGTTATGGACAGGACACCAGCCAGATGGAGACATTAAAATCCTTATGGGAGATATGAATGTCAAACTGAAGGCAGATAATACAGGAAGAGAACTCATCATGTGTCGAGAGGCTGTTGCTCGGCTAAATGAATCAGAACGGAGAATTATTCACGGACTTCTGCGCTTTCAATGATCTGGTGGTTGGAGGCAGCGTGTAAAAGTACAAGGACATGCACAAAGCAACATGGATTTTCCCCGACAGACACACCAAAAGCCAGAGAGATCTAATCTCAATCTCAAGGAAGTTGAGACACAGCCTGCTGGATACAAAGTCGAGAAGAGGAGCAGATGTCAGCTTAGACCATCATCTAGTTCGAGGAACTTCAAGGTGTAGCTGAAATCCATGAAAACAAATGAAGACAGGTCACAATTCAAGTTCAACATTCAGAAT